ACAGCAGTTCTTTTCAAAACAACTGTTTAATTAGTCAAACAACTTTGAATGTAACAACAACAGCAAACACCCAGAAACATCCATGCCTTAATGGCTGGAGAACAAGAAACCCAGACTGCATGGAGTCTCCTGAATCACCCTTCTTTGTTAATATCAACCATTTTCTCAACACGAATTACCACTCCAGATATAACATTTCCCCAACTTGTATTTCAAAGGTTCACAAAAATAAGCCTTTTTGGTTACACCCTTTTACCTTAACATAATCATTCCGTAAAGGCATTAATGCTTGATTTAGAACTGAATACGTTGCCCCGTATCAATAAGAAATTTCACTTCTGTTCCTCTCCTAACTTCATTATAATCAGTGGAGGATCCGCTAGGGTAGATTCCCCAGGTCCCTGTTATTCCTGTTGAAATCAGGGACCAATGATTACCCTAGAAATAGGCTAGTCAATTTGTCCTCCGAAGCCAGGTCCAAACCGTTTTGTTTTATTTATTTATTTATTTTCATTACATTTCAGAGTTGGTCCAAAAATTCCACAGGGGTTTCTTTTAGACCTTGTTGGAAGCATATTCTCAATTCCCAAATCGTCCAGATTCTAGTATTTACTTAACTGTTCATAATTTTCAGGATGATGAGGGTCTTAGTGGGGGTCGGTCAGGAAAATGCAATTGTCCACAGTTCCCTGAGCGATCCCATCGGCAATCTGAGCTCACACATGAACTCAGGTTGTTTTCAGAGTTAACTGCTTTTCTGTTTCTGTGACAACTCTCTGGGACTCATCATGATCCCTTTGCCCCAGAGGGCTAACACCCAAGATTTTAAGGTCTCAGCCCCAGGCCGAGGCAGAACTGTTAACATTCCTACATCCTCTTTCCTGCTCATTCAACTTCAAACACCTTTAACACTTGCAATAACCCTTTTAACACTTCCTTTATCTTTCTCCAGCCTGTACTTTTCTAATGCCAGCATCAAAAGCACAGTCAGGGACCAACTTAATTCCGTACCTTTTCCCTCCAAGATGCTGAAACAACATCAGTATACAACATTCCATCCTATTTTCCTTCTCAAAAACAACATTGACTGTAGCAAAGTATTATAGTTTAAAGCTCCATTAAAAGGCCACTTTTTTCAACATTCCAGCTTATAAAGCAGCCACCATTGATTACAATATTTTGTCAGAGTTTTCTTATTTTCACTTCCACCCGGAGCCCCCCTATATCCTTCCAATAACTCAAAATACAGCTCAACGTACTTTTCTTAGGAATTTCACTGCTTACTCGTCCCCCCATTTTCCAGTTCACACTTTCAGAATACATGTATCACTTACAAAACTGTGGGCACACAGGTATCTTTCAATAGCGATGTCACAAAACTACTATTATTACCAGGAGATATTGCCAAAATCACAATAACAATAATCAGAGTCAAATTCCACAAGCGATAGGTCAGAAAACCAAAATATGTAACACTGTAACGATATCTTTCTTATAACAACGTCACGAAACTTATTATTATCACCAAGAAAATAGCCAAAATCGAGTAACAATAACCAGAGTTAAATACCATACTCCATGAGTCAGAAAACCAAAATAGGCAACACAATTCCAGATGGACCTTAAAGCGAGCTCTTTCCTTAAGGTCCCCAAATATACTTATGGTGCTTACCACAAAGTATATACCAAACACTGCCTCGCAGAAGATCACCTCCCGACTTAACAGACAGTTCCAGATACAGATGGACCTCAAGGTCCCCAGATATACTTGTGGTACTAACCACAAAGTATATACCAAATACTGTCCTGCAGAAGATCACCTTCCGACTTACTGGACAGTCCCAGATGACCGGTCTACCAGAAAACCAAACCAGAATAAAGAATATACTCACTTACAATGATGGGGTCCTTGTCTGCCTCCGCAGTGATCCGGTGAGTCGAGGAGTCCCTCCGGGAAATCCCGGGGGTACCCTAGGGAGTCCTGTCCCCAGCGGGTCCTGCGGACCGGCAGAGAGGTTGTCCCATCTGGGGTGCCAAATTGATTTAAAGATCAAAGCCGAAATTTCCTTAAGTGGTATATTCTTTATTGCAGCGCTGGATGCACGGGGGATCCTTCCGCCTATCGTGCATGTCCGAAGTGACAAAATATCTCATATTTATACAGCAAAACAATGAATATTCAATTAGCATGCATACATATTCATCACCTAACCCCGCCTACCCTCGCTTCGTATGCTAATTAGCTTATCAGTCCTTGCGCTTGCGCAAAGCCTTCCAAGAATTGTGGGCCGGGTCTCCAGGATGTGGGCAGTGGTCTTGGGAGGAAGGCCGTAGGTCTTCCTCGTAATGCACTTTTCACCTTTGCTTAATCAGTTGTTTTCCAAGCTGTAAAAATGCTGAGTTGGCTTTCAGTTTAACTGAGGGTCGGCAGATAACAGGAAGTCTCAGTTAACAAGACAAGACAATTGACTCAAGTTATCTCAAGTCTCAGCCTGACTAACGGTTAACAGATACTGGGATGTTTTCAAATAACAAGATGCTTAAACATAACAAAAGGTCTACAGATAACAAGATGTCGTTTACTTTGTCCTTGCTAACTTTTAACCACAAGTTTTATTCTAAAGTGAGTTTATACTATATCAACGGAGATTGTTGAAAATACTTGGCTTTACTTGGAGTACGTGTATTACAACCCATTAAGAAAGGTTTTATTTAAACAGAAAAGGCAGAGTAGAAGGGGCCACTGCTTTTTCATTATTTATTTATTTATTTTTTTCTTTCTTTTCTTTGATCTTTCAAGGTACTGAAATAGCAAATGAGTGCTAAAATAAAGAACACACACACACAAGGTTAAACACAAGACCTGAATGAGGTCAGATTAGAAATTTTTTCTGAGGGGGGAAAAAAATAAAAGATGATGAATGCATCAATTCTCCTTTTTCAAACACCTCAGGATTAATGAGCCTGTCAAGAGTTTGTAGGTCAGAGGGATGATCGTGAGCTCATGTAAAGTAAGTCCTTAAGGAAGCTGAAGAAGCTAAATGAATTGTTAGCCTCAGTGTTTGCTACAGAGGAACTTAAAGAGGCTCCTGAACTGCAGCTTCCTTTCTGAAGGACAAGTTGGGAAATGGCCTTAAAAGTGGGAATGAGAAGATTTTTCTATTACAGATCAGTAAAATGAGTAGTAAGTAGTCACCTGAAAAAGAATAATATATTTATATATATATAATTTTCATTTTGTGAAATGAAATATGCAATTAGCAAACTAATTAAATTGTGCAGCTGAACTGTCATTTGATTTGCCCTCAGTACTACAGAATTGAAACACCACAGATGCAAAATTGTTTTTTTAAAGACCTTCCAAGAGAATTCAGGAAACTGTAAATTGTAGAACTCCTATTTCAAACAGTTAGAAGAGATGATAATATGTGAGTAATATGATGTGGAAATTCAGTATGCATTTTGCAGAACTCATGAATTGTACATATCTGTGAAGGAATTGGTGAGCATTTGGAAAGTGTTTTGAATGACCCTGTGTACCTGGATTTCCAGAAAGCTTTTGATGAATTACTTAAAATAAATAAGTCTGATAATCTGATTTGAGACAATAAATTAATCTGTTAGGAAAATTAAGAGAAGCTCATTCAAATGAATAATTGTTTAAAAAGTAGAAAATAATAGGAATTAAAGTTTCCACAGTGAAGGGAGGTTAACGATAAAATTATATCACTAAGAAAATACTGCTTGAAAGTGAAAAGGGGAGTGAAAAACCTGATCCTCATGTTCTTAAAGCACTATATCTGTTGCAAAACAGTCTGTACAATATCTGAAAAATAGTGGGCCCTAAATTATCTGGCTGTTTCAGAAAGGAGATCTCAACATTATTTTGGATTTTGCTTAGGAGAAAACTACAAAATAGCTCATGAAGTGCTGTTCACAAACTCAAAATTATGTGTTCTGGCTCTGACAAGGACCAGTAACAGATCTTTAGGGGAAAAAAATGAGGAAAAATGTTACCTTGTAAAGTGATACTCCTGTTTGCTTGCTTTTCTAATACTTGATGGTCTGCTGCTTGGGTAAATCTTGAGCTAGCAGATGTCTTTTTCAGTATTATTGTATCAATTATTCCTTGGTGGATGTTTTTTCACAAATTTGTTTTGTTAGTTGCTTTTGCTATATTACATGTTGGTTTGCAGTTTGTAGTGCAGTTAATAATTAACATGGTATATTTTGATTTGGAAACTTCATATGGATTTTCTAAGTCAAACATGTATGACATGTCAGACTGTATATGCTGCTTGGTTTACAAAAATGGTGGAAAAAAACCTCTATAATGGATACTTAATTCCAGTGAATCACAAAATGGGATTTTGTATTATCTGAAAGTACGTGCTGTAATATGTATTGATCTATGATCTTCCAATGCTAATTTTGCCTGATAGACTATGCATGTTATGCATGTGTGGAGTTCAAAGTGTTATCAGTAGCTAGTTATATATTATAACGCTCAAGGTAACAGTAGAAGGATGACACTTTATTAATATAGGGCAGTTTGATGGAAAGGCAAAGGCTTTCTGTATTGTGTGTGCAGCAGTAACATTGATCTTGCGCCAGCATTCATCATAACAAAGAAATAGAGTCTGAAATAACTTATGTATTGCTTAGCCCAGTACTTCTTCACCCATGATGCTTGCCTTGTTTAAGACTTTGAACACCCAGTGCTGTTCAGGTGTTCTGCAGATATGTACTAGCAGACTTCCTGGCATATTAGTATTTAAGATGCAAATTTCTCTCCTACTCATAAAAAAGAACTGTAAATCCTAGCTCCTTATGAGAAAGCAATTAATTAGGAAAGCAATTAACCTTCTACTTATATCTGAGAACATCTAAACTGGTCCACAGTTGTGTTCTGCTTCCTCATTGCTGGTTTCGCGAATACAATGATTAAGCTTTCTGTGACAGTTTGGTCATTTCTAATTTGTCCTGGTTTTGTTTTGTAGGGGAAAAAAGAAAAAATAATGAACCTTATTCTCTGGAGGATTCAAAAAGACCAAGAATTGTAGGAGATATTCCTATTGAGTTAATCAATGAAGTCATGTCAACAATTACAGATCCAGCAGCAATGCTTGGGCCAGAGGTGAGGAATGCAGAGATCTGGTCTGTCTGTAAATGGTCTTTCTTTAATAAACATTCCATGTGAATAAAACATGAAAAGCTAAAAGTCCACAAAACTTACCATGCTGTCAGTAAGAAAAATACAGACTTTGAGAGGATATGTTTAGGTAAGAAAGAAATATTGATGAAATGTATCATTAACATGAAGAATAATTCTACATTTTTGTAATGCTTTGTCGCTGTTTTTAAAGAGACTCGGAAACTAGTGATAACGAGCAAGCTGATCCCAGTTTATTCTGTAAGGTACTTTTGTTGCAGGACAATTCTAGAGTATGCTTTTTGTTGTTAATCTTAGATGTAGCTCATCAGAGAAGGTAAGTTAGGTTCAAATCTTGCAGAAGAATGAAAGACACCAATTTAAATCTTCTGTTTAGTGTGGGAGAGCCAAGTGAAACAGTTCTTTGCTCTTTCTTCCACAGTTGCTCTTTTTTTCTGCTGGAAGAGAAAAACAGAATTGCGCCATGTACAGAATTGCTTGCTTTTTTTTTTTTTTTTTTTTGGCTGGCTTTTCCTCCTTCTGTTCCCTTCGCCAGACTGTTTTGCCAGCAGCTCTTATTTGCCAAGGTTTAGCTAGAGTGTGATGAAGATTTGGATCCACCTACATTTCTTGCTCAAACTATATACCGTGACTTATGGCTCTGCATATTTACAAGTGCTATGCCAGTCTGGATGTTGAGACTGGCAGTGACTAGAAACCCAGCAGACAAACTTTGCTCTAAAAAGTAAACAGTATGTGCATGCAGAGATGTTTTGGCATTCTAAAAGGATCTTGAAAAAAATGTTAAATAAATTGTCTGTATGAATTTAATCTCCATGCAAATATACATATGTAATTGCCAGATATGTTACAACAAGATCAGTAGGAATGAAAATGTTCCTTTTTGTTGTTGTTGTTCTTATGACAGTGGTGTAGGTAGTGGAAAGCTCTGCTAAAATGAAAAGGTAATACTGTGCCTGCACTGCTGTTAAAATCTGTGATTTGCAATATGTATAGGCAAGTCCATTACTACTTCTGTCCAAGCTAACTAGGCTAAAGAAAATGTGAAGACATAGTAGCATAGGCTTCAACTAGATGAGTTCTCTCCCCCATCAAGTTTTGGAACTTGTTGAGATATAACCATCACTTTTGCTACATAATCTTGAAAAGAAGCTCAAATAAGCCTTTGTATACTGTAGTGAAGACTTTATATCACACTTATTTGGTGGTGTTACTTCTGCTGCTAAAAAAAAGGAAAAGAAAAAGTAATCGTTGGCAGCTCTATTTTTGTAAAAAGATGGCTTGGGAAAAGAGGGGTTTTGTTTGTTCCTTAAGGCTGGTCCACGAGAGGATGTGAAATCTACAAAATGTGATTGTGTTCCTCTTTCATGTTGTATAGACCAACTTCCTCTCAGCACATTCGGCCCGGGATGAGGCAGCGAGACTGGAGGAGCGCAGGGGAGTGATAGAATTCCACGTGGTTGGGAACTCCCTGAACCAGAAGCCAAACAAGAAGATCATGATGTGGCTGGTTGGTTTGCAGAATGTATTTTCCCATCAGCTGCCTCGAATGCCGAAGGAGTACATCACGCGCTTGGTCTTTGATCCGTGAGTAGCACTGGAGAGGAGTTTTGTGGGTGAGATGGAGAGAGCACAGTGTTTGTTGCAGGCAGCAATGTAGGAACAGGCCAGTCTAGGTGATGTGGAGGGGATCTCTTGCCCTATTACATTTTCCCCACCTCTGCAAGCCACCGTAAGTGGCCAGTCTAGTTGATCCCTAAATACCATTTTGGTGGCTGTATTAATGACAAGTGGTGTGTCATGGAAAGTGGACTCCTACATATGTTGTGCTTATGAACGTTAGATCTGAAAGTCAGAAAATAATTATGGTGTTCATTAGTGGTTTCTGAGTCTATACTAATTTGCCAGACTCTCCATCCTCTGTCTTTTGAGATTGTGAACCAAATGACAGAGAGATTGAAGGCTTTTCAATGAGAAGAATTTAAGGGATTTATGAAAAACATCATTTATGTCAACATGGGAGAAAGCTTAGAATCACTTCTCACAAAAGTGGTTTGCTTTTCTATTTATTAGTGCAAGCTTCCCGTCCTGCTTTGAGTACAGCTCTATACCACAGGCACTTGAAAAGAGATGCATTGGCTGTAGCAGCATCCACAGGTTGCATGTGGTCCTTCGCCCACCCCAGTGTCCTGATGAATTGTGCTCAAGCAGGAATGGGAAGATTTGCCTCCTGTTTTTTTTTTTTCTTTTCTTCTGTTTACAACATCCTTTTGCTATTGATTTTAACCGTTTGTAGTCTCAGGACTGTCAGGTATGAATCCTCTTCTTTTTGCTCAACACACTGAGGATCTTTCTTGCCCTGCTGTTTACTTCACCTTCTCTTCACAAGTATCCACTTTTTCACTATTGTGTTTCTTGGAGAGCCTATGACTACTTACTCCCAGCCAGTTTGTTTTCTCAAGATTTCTGAGTGTGAGTGATCCATGTCCAACAATAGCTAAGGTGCCTGCTGTGCTGACTGCAGCTCTTTGCAGCGGAGCATGCCTGTAGGCTCATTGTTGTATGTCGGCAGACACTTCAAGAGGAGCTCTGCCTGAGCTGATCTCAGCCAGCTGCCCAGCCTGGTTGGTGGTAGAGCCAGCCACCAGTGATATCAGCTGCTCTCTCTGTGCCCAATATTGTAGCTGCAGCAGTTATGAAAACATTTCTGGAACCATTTTCTCTACTTTTAGGCTTGATAGCATTTCCCTCTGCATTATTTTCTCAATGCCAACAAACTGCTGCTGCAGGCTCCATGCAGTCCTTGAAGCCTAGTGCTGGGGACTGTTGGCCAGGACTTCAGTCTCCAAGCACAGAAGAGCCTTCTGGGCTCTTCAGACAGAAACAGCATAGTCCTTGTGAGGGCCAGCACCAATCCAGATTCTTTTCCCCTCTCCTATGTTGGGGTAAGTGTTGCTCAGCTGTGAGGCAGAGACAGCACTGGGATCTTAGTTTAGGAATCTTATTAGCACTGGGATCTTGAGCAGAGGCAACTGGTCGAAGACGACAGGTTTCCCAATAAATATCAAGACAAATTGTGAAGTAGTGCTGTTGAGCCATGACCTTCTCCCATGTTTCTCTATCTCTTTTATTGGGAAAGACTCTTCCCGTAGGCTGGGAGGAACTACTGGCAATTAAAGTGCTCTTCAGTACAGATATGTCTGGAGAGCAGTCTGTGCTTGAGAAAGAGTTAGGGCATTTTCTTGCTTTAGCAATATCCATATGTGCCTTTGGTGAACAGTTGACCCAAAGGAAGCAAAGCACATAGCCTGGACATCTTGGAAATCCATTATCTTCCAAGATGTTCAGGGACACATGTTGGAGACCTACACTAAGTAGTGGGTACACACAAACCTGCATCAGGTAGGAGGTACTGGAGTCCAGCAGTTCTCTTCCCAAGTTAATGTGCTTGTTATTTATTACCTATTATTTATTAGTTACTTCTAATTACTTAATTACTGTATTTATTACTGTATCTCATTATTTATTACTTATTATATATTTTGTTACATACTATTATACTATTATATATTATAATAATTATATTTTATTATCAGTTGTTAGTGTACTTACTATTGCCTTTGTTCTTATTTCTAAAGTGGCCATCCTTACTGAATCTTACTACATAAAAATTAAAACAGGAAGAAACAAAATTAAAAGCACAAGCCACTATATTGCTGCTTTCATTCCACGGATAAAAAGCACTAAATAAGTACAAAAAGAATGTCTACAGTGTATAAAATCTACTTCAACAGTGGCATACTGTTGAAAATATAACTACTTTTTAGACTACTGTTTTTTGCTACCAACACCCCCCCCCAAGATGTCTTCTCTAAATTTGCTGTATTGATTATATAATTTATATGATACCGTGTACTGTGTCTTGAATAAGCTAGATAACAGGTGCCATGTAAATCTTTCCAGACCTTAAAGATGACACTAAAATTCTTGACCCTTGACATAAGAGTTCAGATTGCACGTTGTATCTTTCCTGGTAGTAAGTGTAAGTGCAACAGAAATGGATATTTATTCTGGTCTCGATTCCACTAGGAATGGGTGATTAGAAAAATGAAATATAATTTCTTGCTTGATTAGCTGTGTTAGAAACTGATAGCTTAGCTATACAGACTTCATGCAAGGAAACAAGAATCCCTTAGAAAGGACTTACTGTCCTGTAACTCCATTAATTTCTAATTTAGTCAGGCTAAAAATCATCCTGAGAGCAGCTCAATGGCACAACTGTCAGGAATAGAGTCAATGAAAGCAATGCAACTCATATTTATTGGCGTTTTCCTAGTACCTAGCAGTACTTGGCAAGGCTAGGGGACCTTGCTACATGAATGATGAATTTTATGGTAAATTCAAAGCGTGATATTAAAATAGAAACTCTTTTTTAGATACAAACAGCTAACTTAAAGGTGGCATATACAATTACAGTATCATCATGGAAAGAAGTGAATCAAGTGTCTGAAAAAAAAGGAGTGTAATGGCACATGATGTACTATGTACATGAATTAAAGAGACTGTTATTTTTGTCTACTCAGGAAACACAAGACCCTTGCATTAATAAAAGATGGTCGTGTTATTGGTGGTATCTGCTTCCGAATGTTCCCCTCCCAAGGATTTACAGAGATCGTTTTCTGTGCTGTGACTTCCAATGAACAAGTTAAGGTAATAATAACTCTCCACTACAGTTTATTAAATACATTTGAGTTCCATTCACCACTGCATATTCTCTGAATTTTGCTAGTCACATTGGATATACTGAGCTACCAAACAGAAGTAGGATTTGAAAGATATAGTGATTTTGAATATACTATGGAAAACCTAAACCAACGTGCAGATTTAGAATCATTACAATAATAGTAGGATTATTTGCTAAGAAATGATACAAATAAAATCTTCCTCAAAACAGAAATAGTGTTAGTCCAAGAACAGGAGAAAAATTATTCACTCCTTTGTCTTCAGCAATTGTCTCTCAGTGTAGAATAACACTTATGGTTGGCTGAAATAAGTACACTTTGTATGTGGTTGTAATTTATGTTCAGTCACTTTGTTGTGTTACACAACTTCAATGAAAATGTGATATATCAAAGAAAATAGGTATAGTTATGCATCTCAAAATAAAACCACACTATTCTGTAGGCCCTTTTTTGAGTCACTTTTACAAAATATTCTCAGAGCTGAGCATTTGCTGTTACGTTGAAAGAATGTAGAGCACTATAAATATATAAGAGATTAAACTCCCTTTCCCTAGGGCTACAGGTAGATCTACTGTATCTGGTGGAGGATTTTGCCTTTAGATGGTGCTGTAGCTACATGTTTTTCAGTTGAAACTGTTACAGATGAGATGTGGATTAATTTAGAGTTTGTAGCACTTGAACAGGTGGAAACTGTGCAAACCTGTGACAACTTTTAGTTCTTGGGTTATATATGATTTTATACAACCCTAGTGTTAGAGAGGACCATTCCCATGTACATAGCAGACACCTGTCATAAAAATATTTGTAGTGTTTTAGCAAATATGAACAATAACAGATCTTGCTTTAGGTATGTTTATTCAATGCTTAAATAATTCGTAAAAGGTATTTTCATTAAATTTAAACAACGAAACATGCTACACAAGTTAAGCTGCCAAAGCTATATTTTGATTCTCAAGGGCTAACTTATCAGATTTTTTGTTCCATTATATTCTGAACCCTCAGAGTGCCTGACTAGGTTGCAGATGCACACATAATGCACAATTTCTTCTGTTACCTTTTGGGTGCCTCATCGTTTGTGAAGTTCAGTTGATTACTTCTGAATTGGCCTTCCCACATACCTTTCTGAGCAAGATGACCCCCACCAGCAGAAGACAGGAAAGAACAACAAAACAAATAAATGTGTGCATCCATGAGTGTCATTGCAAACTCTTGGGAAAAATAAACTCATATTTTAATTTATTTTGAGTCTGGAGCAAGAAATACAGATAAAGTTTTGCTTTATATGTGATCTTTAAAAGTCAAATTGGTTTTGAGAAAGTCTGATATTATGTTGAAAAATTGTTTTAAACTTTACCGTACCTGACTTAGTTTCCCTTTAGAATTGTTAGATTGTTGGCAAGCATTTGTGAGAATGAATAAATCCTGGGAAGGTTGTGGAAATAACAGATCAGCTGAAAATATTTGAGTTAATTGTCATTGTAATTGCTGGAATTTCTTAGAGGTAAAAATATGACATTTGCTGTTAGAGCTTAGCTGTCTTAGAATTACTGAAATAAATTGCAATGGCTCAGGTGTAAATAAAATGTCAGTCTCATACACTTCCTTTCATACTGTTGATGAGAAGGGAAGTGAAATGCTTGGATGGTTCAGGTACTTGCATTTAAGGAAAACATTTTTCATTAAAATTTTTCATTCAGACTTCGTCCTCTTTGAGTTCTCAAATTTTCAATTAGAAAGCCTCTTCATTGTCTTGAGCACTTCTGAGTTCTAAGAAATGCTGTGCCATTTAACATGTCGTCAGTCATCAAAACACCTCTTTGTATTTGATGCAGGATGTCTGCCACTTTAACAAATGAGCCTATGACTGTAAGAACTTCCTCAAATTCAGAAGAACTTATTTTTACACACATGAAGCTTCATTTTGAATATGAGGTCTGAATATCACACCTTCCAGACACTACCTGGATTAACACACTAATTTTGTACCAAGAGTTAGGCTTTTCAAGAACCTGTCATTATGAAATTTTTGTACTGATCTTCAGCATTTAACTAACTTGCTTTTATCTGGCTGTTTCCATGTTTGAGGCTATTAAATTATTATTTGGAAGCATGTATTTTCTAATTTATTTTTCCTGTTTTACATACAGAAATAAAAATTTCTTCAAGAACGGAGTACACCAAAACATTCCATGTATATTTGTATAAATATCCAGTCGTTATCCATGGTGTTAAAATTTGAATATATGCAAGAACAACACATTATTATGCATTTTCCTGTCTGTTTTACATTTCTTAACACACAACAGAAGGGCAAGACTATAGCTTACTTGGAACTGTGAATAAAAGGAACCTTTTGTTTACTTTGGGTTGAATGAAAACGGAAGTTATTCTTGTGTACAGTCAGAAGGCATAGCTATTTATTTGATTGGGGACTCAGTAATTTTCTGCTGCTTATTATGGTAATAACTTTTTCACAATTTTATTTTATACCCTATGATTCAATCAGATGATGAAATCTTTGAGGCAGAAGTTTTTTCTGCAGGTGCACAGAACTCAGAAAAATAGAGGCCTCATGTCAGAATGGGTTCCCCTAAAAGGAGCCATTGTGACAGTCCCACTGCTTTGCAAATTTGAAGTGATGTGGCAAAGAAAGAATGCCTTGTTATTACAACATACACAATCTTGTTATTGGTGAAATATGTCTATTAGTAGATGATAACTAACTAAGAAAAAAATTATGCACCTTGAGTTGCACCTCCCAGGACAACGTATTGCTTTAGATGCACACTTTACCCCTAGAGAGCGTCTAGGTTTTGGTCTCTCTTATATTAAAAGTGAATCAGGCAGTAGAAGCTGTGATATTTTGTTCCTTGTTGGGTCACAAAGATATGTTTACAAGGCTGAAAACAGTTTGATTTTGAGTATAGCTTACCATGTTACTTATGATGAAATCTTTAAAACAGGATCTAGAGGAAGTACTGCATTTTGAAAACCAGTCTGTAATAACTCCTGGTCTACACTTTCTAATATGTGCAGTCTTCAAAGGCTTCATAATGGCTTTTTGCTTATATGTTTCACATAGGGTTATGGAACTCACTTAATGAACCATCTGAAGGAGTACCACATCAAACATAACATCCTCAACTTCCTCACATATGCAGATGAATATGCTATTGGCTACTTCAAAAAACAAGTAAGTCAATCTAAGAAATTACTTGGCACAAGAAGTCAACATCTATCAGTGATTGAACTGAACAAATAGATATAGGAAAGTAGTTGATTAAAAATGCATAGTGTGGTTTTAAATGTATATTTTAAATCTGTAAAATGTACTTTATGTTCATTTTTTATAATGATATTGGTATTTAATGCACTTTATTTTGAAGGTATCATCTGAATATAAGAGTATTAAATCACTACATGATGTAGCCTACCATTTGTCAAGTCTTAAAAACAGTCAGATACAGATTAGCTGCTTCTTGACTTCATTCACTTTCTTCACTGATTCTAGAAGTATAAAGAAGGACCATACATACTCTCAACAAACTAGGATTTACCTGAACTCATGCTCATAGCTGCTTCTGCTGAAATGAAGCATGATGTTCAAGATGTTCATGATGTGCAAGAAAGATTGTGATGTCTAATCTGTCAAATAGTTTTGATAGATAACTAAGCATCAACTATCTAGTCAGAGGATAAAGCAAAGTTGGAGTAAGATTTTTCTCAGAGAGAAAATCTTACAGCAATAGGACTGAAGGCAACAGACACAAGATGGATCGTGGGAAATTCCAACTAGAAATAAGGATTTTTATCCTTACCTTTTATACCATGAGGATGGTGAAATGGAAAATGCTGCCTAGAGAGGTTGTGGAACTTCCATTCTTGGGAAGTTTTCAAAACTGAACACAGACCTGAGCAAGCAAATCTGATGAGACCTGCTCTGACCAGGAGCGGGGCTAGATGACCTCCACAAGTCCCTTCCAGTCCGAGCAATTCTATGATTCTATTCACAAAACTGGTACAATTCATTCTTTACACATTCAACATAAATTTAAGGTTGAGTTTGTAATTCTATTATCATACCTGTGCAGACAGACTCCTTTTCACTTCTGAAATGTCCCTGCAGAAATTTGAAGTTGCTTAGTCTCTGAGTAAGTCTGAAGCCTCTGATTATAAATGGTGAGGCAGAAAAACTGTTTGTGTTCCTGTTTATTATTATTATTGTTTCTTCTTATTATTATTAATGAAGGTTTCATAGATATCACTGCAACAGAAGAATAAAAGTGAGAGTCTTACCCAGTATTTTAGTGTCTTGATTAACACTTGTCAGTTTCTTATCCTTTCAACTTAGAATTGTATGAAGACTATAACGTAACTTTGGAATTTTTAATAGGATATGTTGTTTTTTACCATTTGAAATAGTGAAAGTGAAAATTATATATATATTTATATTTATATATATACATTATATACTTTTTTATATTTTTGTCTGACACTGAAGTTACTGTAATCTTTGGACAAAGGTTTCATTGACTTCAACACTGACTTTTTTGCTTAATGACTTACAGGACTGTCATACTTTAATATTAAAATGCCAAACTTTTGAAAATGTGTCTGCAGTAAAAATCTTTTCCTCCATCTCTTTATCTCCCATACCTTCCTCTTCTTCTTTTATATATGTATATATATAAGCAATTAACTGTTCTTGTATAAAGTAATTTCCATAAGAAGGTGTTTGCAGCACTGTGACCCTTGATCTGTAACTCTTTCCATCATATTATCTGTATTTTATTTTAATGTTATGATGAATTTAGTTCTAAATCATCATAGCTTTCTAATTTAAAAAAAAAAAAAAAAAGAAAAAAAAAAGAAAAAGAAAATGGCATAATAATAACTTAAGTTTATTTCTTCTTTAGGGTTTCTCCAAAGATATTAAAGTACCAAAAGCAAAATATGTTGGCTACATCAAGGATTATGAAGGTGCCACATTAATGGGATGTGAACTAAATCCAAGGATTCCCCTACACAGAATTTTCTGTTATTATTAAAAAGCAAAAGGAGGTAAAAGCTGAAATGAAGCACTGAACATAATAATCTTTTTAGATGTTTAGAAATATTGTTTAGAAACAGTTTAGCTAGCGTCAAATTTTCTCTGTTCTTCTCTTAGGTGCTTTAAACATTGGAGTGCATATTTTAAATATGAGAAATACTTTTAATCAAGTCCTTAGTGCCATAATTTTGTAGTTTAAGAATTAAATTCTACCTTACTAGCTTGGGGTAAGAAATGTTGAAAAGTAATGATATTTTGAGTAGTATTTAATAGCTAATTTTATTAGTTACAGATAACAGATTTTTTCTGAGACTTAATTTGTTTTACAGCTTTCTGATATTGTTGACTTCTTCCTGTCCACTGACCCTCTGAATCACAGCTAATGTGGGCTGTCTTTTATTTACTCTATCATAATTTTTCATATAATAACACAATTTTTCTAGCAAAATAATTAAGACATTTCCAGTTGTGTTTAGATACCTTCCTATTTAGGTACCTTCTTGGGTATTTAAAGAAATTTGAAATTACAAGTTTAACTTTATTATTTCAAAGGTTAAAATTCATATTTTTTTTTCTTTCCTGTTAAAATGCTTATTTTAGTCATGGTCCAGTAGAACTACTCGGCCCATGCTAGCACAAAAAAGGTATCTGAGGGCTAGGACCCAATGGAATGGCATGAAGCTGTATCTGCGGAAGTTCACACTGGATATTAGGACAAGATCATGGCACTGAGCTTGCCAGAGTTCAAAAAGTGTTTGGACAATGCTCTTAGAAATATGGTTTAATGGTAAGGTTGTCCTGTGTTGAGCCAGGAGTTGGACTTGATGATTGTGATGGGTCCTTTTCAACTCAGGATGTTCAATGATTTTAGTTTACAAGTGTTTTTTTTTTAAACTCCACTTATTAGGAAGGCTTTAAAACTAAAGCCCATATAGTACAGATCATGATTTTAGCCAATTTTTACCTCTCATTTCTGCTTGGTTGGGTTACTCTTCAGATCCCAGTCGTCTTCCAGATCTATCACCTTCCCTTCAGGGATAGGATGTTGTTGGGGTGGGCACGTAGTGGACTATTAGTCTTTTAAAGTGGCTTGTTTGAGGCACACCTAGTGGCGGTGGAAGCATGTAGCTTCCAAAAGTTAGTTTTGAAGTTACAACACATTTTTCACTCTCTTATTTGGTGTGCATTCCATGTTGTCCCAATCAGTTGGAGACATTCTCCTTGGAGGTGAAGTGCCTTGATCCTCTGGACATCCCATGTCTACCATTATCAGAAAGCAAGCTGTTATTATACAGTGGTCTATGACTGCCATTGTATCTTCTCTGAGAATAAATATACAGTCCTGTGAATTGTATTTTAGAATTGCTTGTTTGATACTCAAAATACAGATGAGGCTTTATTATTCTTTCTGTTCCAAGGAAACTTAGAAATAGCCCTCATAGTCTGCAGTTTTCTCAATGTTCGCCTTTCTGGTCAAATCAAAAGCAATGAAGATGGTTTGTGGACATATATAAAGTTTTTAATGTTCCCAATCTGGATTATAGATTGATTTGTTTGGTTGCTGGTATTGGCCAGTACTGGACATTGGACTTTATTAGTCACGTCTATTTTAAAAATCAAACTTTTAATGGGTGCTAAGCTTTCATTTAAAGAATTAGAGTATATGCCTATGGCTGCTATGGCTGCCATTGGTAAGTTTGCCCTGTCTGATTTGTAGCTAATTTACATTCATTCTAAAAAATATGAAAAATCCCTTTACACAAAGCTTTGTGACCTGCTGACTTTTAAATAATTAATGTTACTGACTGAACAGCTCATTTTAATCAGGAAGAGCCAAGAGTTCTTAAATTATAAGATGAGTTTAAGGTGTACTTCACAACTAGTTTGAAGGTATTTTTGTGTTATGCTAGAATGTGGCCGTGGTGCTGCAGTATACTGTAGGCCCTTAATCTGTTACTTCTATTGAAAGTCTGATTTTTTCTTTTCATCTTCTTTGAGAGAATGTACTATGTGTATACGGGTAAAGGTGCTTAACAATAAAAAATATATCCATCTTTACTATTTTCAAAGAAAGAAGTCTCTCAGACTCTGTGGTGGTCTAGACAATTTTTCATTTGTTTACCCAGTTTTAAAGTAAGCAATATTGAAAATGACATATTCAGGATACACAAAACTTAGGTAGATGTCTAAGTGTATATCAAAAGCACCATCTCAAATTGCTTAAAATTGAGGTAAAGAGATTGCAGAGCCGAACAGAGTTTACCTCAGGACTGGGGAAGCCTTTTCTGTCATTTACAACTAGAGTAGAATATTGGTTACAAAGAGTGGCATCAATTTTGACTTTCTAAAGATAAAATCTTCAGTAAGAGCATCTCTGACTGATATCTAAACAGCTCCTATGGTTATATGGAGGCTTTGAAACCAACAGGTATTTCTAAAACTTCACAATATGAGCATATATTTATTGAAATATGTGCATTCAGTATGTGCCTTGATACTTCTGACCAGGAGGTGCAGCAGTCCAAAAGTATCAGCTGTTGCAATTAAAGCCAGTTCCCCAAATTGCTTTCAGGAAATTTCCTTCCCTACATCTGCTGGCACCTGCAGCTTGTGATCAGTACAGCAAGCCATGACTGCTTTTCTTCCTGATCTGTGCCTACCTAGGGAGACTTGCTAACCTCATCTACAGAATCGGTGTTTGGCCAGGTAGTTTGCCCCTGTTACCAGCTTGGAATTTATAAGGGACCATAAGTTTGGGATGTGAATATTTTCCATTACAGTTTTGTTTTAATCCTCTGAGTTGCTTCTGAACAAATCAACTCCTTTGTGTTTTCTCTGCTGCTTTATTACAGATCATTAAAAAGCTCATAGAAAGGAAACAAGCTCAGATTCGAAAAGTTTATCCTGGCCTTTCTTGCTTCAAAGATGGAGTACGACAGATTCCTATAGAAAGCATTCCTGGAATAAGTATGTATCAACCTCTTTTAATGTAGAACAGAAGCAGAACAACCCAAGAAAGGTTAAAAATAGAAATACTAATATAGTCATACATTTCTTTTTGATTAATATGTAGTTGTTTTTTAGTCTGTTAATTTGATACCTATGAAGATTGTTGCATTTCCATCACAAGTACTGTCTTCAGTACTCCTCTAGGCATCCCAGGGTGATGATTCTTTATGTACCTGTGTTTAATTTTATTTACATCAGATCCCTCTTTGATTTGTATCACAATATAGTCATCAATTTATTCTGTCGTCACTGATGTGCTGCACTCCTGTACAAGGATGTGCTAAACATGGACGTAGAACAGGACAAAACAGAATTAGAACATCGAAGTATCTTTTTTTTTTTTTTTCCTCAGCTGTGTTTTTCTGCAGTTTATTCTGTGTCCCTAGGGAATCAAATGGAATAACCTTGCCATCTTTATTCTTTATAGAGGTTGTGGTACGATACATGTTGAATTACTTTTAAAAATGGGTGTTTCTTATAATAATATTTAGAAACTTTTCTGCAGTCTGGAGGGAGGGCCATGCAGGAAATTGAATGGGGCTGTAAGCTAGATTGTAGTGTTTTTTATTATAAATAGCTTTTATGAAAACAAACCCATTTTACTTTGTCAATGCTGAAATGGCTTGTATTTTTAGAGCTGCTATAACTCAGTTAATGTTTTGGCCTACTGTAGTTCTCATGTAATCTCTCATGCTGTTGGTATACAGGAGAGACTGGCTGGAAACCAAGTGGAAAAGAAAGAGGGTAAGTGCTGAACAGTGAAAAATGGTGAAGCGGACTTGAGATTCTTTTGAGAAAAGTTGTTAAACAAAGTCATATGAAATTTCCTTCCATCTGTTGGAAAATAGATACACAGTCTGCCATGGATGTGTTCTTAAGTGTTTTGTTTATTTCATATATGTTTTTTTTTTTCCATTAAATGCTTGAGTTATGGAATTGCTTTTAGTTAAGATGTATTTCACAGGAATGAAGATGAGGGGTTCAAGCTAATCTTTTTTTATTAATATTTTCTTTCAAGTAAAGAGCCCAAGGATCCTGACCAACTTTACAGCACATTAAAAACTATCCTGCAACAAGTGAAGGTGAGTGTTCTGGTTTATCTTCTGTAAAGATTTTAAAATGATTTCTAATATAGAGTTTCCATATTAGATACCTTACTTTTTTCTTTACCAAAGAGCCATCAAAGCGCTTGGCCCTTCATGGAACCCGTGAAGAGAACAGAAGCTCCTGGATATTATGAAGTTATAAGGTTTCCCATGGGTAATTGCATTAACATTTTTTAAGTATAGAGTTTAAAAATCTTTATAACTAGAGACATAGCAGTCAAATTGTAGTCTCATTGTTTTATGTTAAAAGATAAATACTTGCAGCTGGGTAGCTTGCAGCTCTGAAGTGCCAAGAGTACAATGCTGTCATTTGAAAATTTATGACTAGTGACCTTTGTGAAGCGTTCTTGGTGTATACATGTGAAATCTCAGTATTCCCTAGAAAGTCCCTAGTGAGCTCTCAAATGATGTGGTCAGCTCAAACCCTCTGGTATTTAGCTGGTTTATGAGTTGTATGAATATGTGTGGTAACTGGTGATTGCATTAACTACTGGTATGTTAAAAAGTCTCTTGGCAAACTTTCAGGAATATCTGAGTGTTTGAATTGCTTTGAAAAATAGATTAAAACTTTCTAAATCACATAAAGTAGACCTTTTCAAAAGTACCAGGGTTTTCTATTTAACCCTTAACAAAGGTCTTGCTTCAATTTAGCTTTAGGAAGAATATTTTATTCAACAGATTATATGAATCATTTCTTGTAACTTTTATCTTTGTATTTTAGATATGCCAAAGTTGTCTGTATTCTTTTTTTTCTTTTTTTTTTCTTTTTTTTTCATACAGCTTTTTTTTTCTACAAGGTTACTTGCTAAGGGAGGTACACAAATGCTGATAGTGTTTTTCTTTGCTTTTGATGTCTGTCATGTAATTTCTATAACAATTCAGTGCTGTTCTGAACAGATACTTGTTTTAATTGGTACTGCAGCAGATTTAAAACTGAATCCTGGTGCATCTGCATTGTTTATAAAATACCTCCATCTTTCTGATTGCTTTAAATGTTATTAAAGAAGGAAACACAAGTTCATTGCTGACTTCTGTCAACCTATTTTGTGAAGGAGTGTTCATGTTGCTTTGTATAGACTCCTACCCTGCATATGCCAATTTATGTACTTCATAAAATAGCAGTTGGCTTCCTGTATCCCTGACACAAACGTATTTTCTAGCAATGAAGAAAAAGAATGTTGATTACCATCCCTTGGCAGAGTTTTCTTTCTCTGCTTTCCTGAGCAGAGACTAGATCTAGATGGCAATTTAATCTGAATGTATCTTTCAGTAACCACTGGAAAAAATACAAAGAAATTGCTGCCTGGGTTGATAAATTCGAAGTATGAGTGCTATCTATCCTATTCTGGCTCAGATTTATTACATTGGCTGTGGAGGAAGCAGGTCTCATTTTAGAATTAAGTTGAGGTCTTCGGGTTTAGTTTTCCTTTGTTTCTTTTCCAGCAAAGGAACCCAGCACAACCTGCATGTTGATTGATGATCAACTTCTGCTTTCTTTTTGCTCTCACTGCCAGCATACAGATATTGTGAAAAAATCACTCAAACATAATTTCAAATACATAAACAAACAAAAAACACACTGTATTTAAGTGTTCTTTTGACTGCTTATTTTCAATAAGTACTGTTTTTTTTTTTTTGTTTTTTTTTTTTTTTTTTACTTGTCTATCTGCAATACCAAAGTTGTATGATTGATTTAAGAGGAGGAGCCATACTTTTACTGTAGAGGAGAGTGGTGTAACTGATCAGCCAGGCAATGTCTGCTTTAGGGTGGACTGACCAGCCTTTTTGGTTCAAGACTATGGGCATATAGTTTAGATGTAGGCACCTACATTTCAGACTTAATGGCAGCTGATTAAACGCTTGCTTTTGCAAAAAAAAAACCCTTGCTTTTGCATCACTAGTAAGTGGCAAGTTACATATCATTTAAAGAGCTATCTGAAAGCATTCAGCAAACTTTTTTTTTTTATAAAAACTCCTTTTGTCAGAGGTATTGGAGAGCATCCAGCAAGCTCTTTTGTCAGTATGACAGGGTTTTCTCTATTTTACCAAAGTGAAATCTCTTTTAAAAAAAACCAAAACCACACCTCACGGGAAATAAACAGGACGTCACAATAACTCAATAGACCACTTTTGTAACTGTAGTGAGTTGTAAGGTCCTTTGCACTGGAGGTCTCGTCTCTGCTTCTTAGCAGTACTCGTTGGCAGAAATTCTCTGTTTCAGCTGTTTCTGTACTGCTTGTAGTACAGACAGATGTCTGTTCTCTCCTATGTTCACACAGAAATAAGAATTTTAAGTTAACACATGTTTTGTGATGTCTAAATTCTTAGCTCATATATTCTTCAGGCCTCCTCCAGCAGAGTTCACAGCAGCTTTGCCTCACAAAGCAGTTAGAGGAGAGTTAGGGACACCTGATACCCACAGGAAACTCAAGACAAATATGAGAACAGAAGAGAATGAGTCTTTTCATCTTTTAAAGAAGGAAAAATGAGCTCTACACAAAATCATTTTACAGTAAAATATTACTTAGTTCCAGGGGCTCAACTGATGTTTTTGAAGCTAAACCAGTGACTAAACCATTAAGGCAATTAGAAATTCTAAACCATGGCTTTGCCATTTTATGTCAAATGACAAATCAATATAAAGGGATATTGCATACAAGAATATTTGAATCAAACATCGTTAATCTATTTTTCTCCTGTACAGATCTCAAAACAATGAGTGAGCGACTCAAGAATAGGTACTACGTGTCTAAGAAATTATTCATGGCAGACTTGCAGCGAGTCTTTACAAATTGCAGAGAGTACAACCCCCCCGAGAGTGAATACTACAAATGTGCCAATATACTGGAGAAATTCTTCTATACAAAAATTAAAGAAGCTGGATTAATTGACAAGTAACTTTTTTTTTTTTTTTTACAACTAATCAGTGTGCCTACATCATGGGCAGAGGAAACCATTATATGTCAGTTGTGGGACTATAACGTTTCAAAAAACTTCTGTTCAATAATTAGCACTTTTAAAAACCCTTTCAGTTTTGCAAACATGTATTATACTGAAGTTACAAAAATTATTTTATTAAAATGCTTTTTAATGTATTTAATTTTTGAATTTTTTGTGTTCCCATTATCATATGTTCATATGTTTACCAGCCACAGCCTCAGAAAAAAAACCCCAAAGTATGGGAAATTGCACATGTTTGGGAATATGAAGAAAATTCCAGGGCAATGAATGTTATAGCCTACCTAATGCAGTGCAGTACCTATTTGAAAAGTTTTACTTTTTTTTTCCAGTAAAAAAGAAAACAGTCAGAAAGAACAACAGTGGGGGGAGGGGAGGGAGCATCTGAAACACTCTTTTCATTATAGAGTCTTTTTATAATATATTATTTTTTAAAATAAAATACTCAGCTGGTTGAGAAGCTGTGAGATAAAAGCAGCCAGTTCTGAAAAAAATAACCTTTGATAGATGCAAGTTTTTCTATTTCTTTTTTTTTCTTTTTTGATAAATATATAACCTGCAAATTGTAATCTCATAACCACTATTTAAAAAAGTAAAAATATCTGGCTAGATACGTAATGTCATAATGACTTGGCTTATGCAGGACATAAGTACGCAAAATAACTTCAGAGACTCCAATTTAATTATACTAGATTTAATTTTAATTGGTTTAATAAGATTTAGATTTTGATGCACTTCATGATCCACCCCATTTACTACTCTTCACTGATAAATTCTGTAGGTTATTCAACAGTGATAAGACTATTGTACACAAAAGTCAACATATGACAGCTTCTATCCTATATACTTGCTTCTGTGGTAAACTGGATTTTCTACCAAGCTTTATTGTAAATACTTATTAACTGTGATTATTTAGACCCAGGAGCATATTAACATTTTACAATTCATGTTAGCATATCTTCAAGTTGGGCACATTATATATATATATATATATATATATATATATGTAATATATATATTTTGCTGCTTACACTACATTTTAAGAGGTACACCTAACTTCCTAATGAAGATCATCAGTATAGGCCAAAAAGTTGTCACTTGACGTTTTCTAATTAGAGTTTGTAACTATAACCTATAACTGTTTTTGTGAAAAACAAATTCAATTCTCATTCTTGGTGTTTTATATTTACAGATGATACACTGGTAAAGCTCAATAGTTATAAGGCTGAAAAACAAAACATCCTATGCTGCATCAAGGAATTTATTCCTGCAAAAGGCCTGTGCAATGTTAAGTCATAAATCAATACAGTGAGTAGATGTTGGAAACTACCTGGAAGTAGTAAATGTGGTATATAAGGTATTCAAAAATATTAACACTAGAACTTCAAGTGTTTCACATGAGATTAGTCTGACCTACATTTGGATCTATAACTAAGGTACAGTGAGTTTATTCCTTTTTTAATAGCCAGTACCAGATGCTATGATCCTTTTTTTGTAGATTGGGCCTACAGATGCACCTGTTAAGCTTGGTATCCTGTGAAATTTTGTTATTTTCAGAGTAGATTTTCTTATTGTCTTTCAATCAGATTGTCTCTTCTATATTGAAACATGTTTTCTAATTTAAGAATTAATATTTTCATAGATACTGTGCAATAAAGTTACAGTAGGATATGTGGTTTTGCAAATGCTTTAACAGCTGATGAATTTTACATTTGTAAAATTAATATATTGTATTGGTACAGAATAGTTTTAAATTATATATGTACAAAACCCTACCTTATTTTGGTCTCTTTTTTTTTCCATTAGTCCTTCTATTATACACTCAAATAGTTTCACAATGGAGCACAACCAAGCTGTAAGACTGCAATCAATGCATTTTCCACGCACCCTTGAAATTATTCCATAAGTTCATTGGGAGCATTTAACTGACTATGGTGTACCACACTGAGCTGGCAAAGTAGGGAAAGTTGTGAAGATTCCAAACATTGCAAGCAGTCCCATCTTCATGTTAATTGAGCTACAGTGCTGTTTTTCCAGTCTCCTTAACAACTCAAGCAATTCGGGGATTTATCTGTTCAAAAACTTTTTTCCCCCAGCGTCTGAATGCCCTTTGCTTAGTTTTTGTCCACTAGAGCCTTTTATTACCAACATACAGTACACACAAAAGCAAACAGTCTGTTTTGAACTTGTACTTACCTACTGAGATCATTAGCTTACTCAGAGGGTATAATTTTGCATATTGTAATTAAAACCTGCACCTGTCTACTATTTGACAAACAATGATTTTTTTTTTCCTATCCAGTAAGATTTAGTCCTGTGCCATGTCACAAAGTGTATGGTCCAGAGGGCAGAAAGTAGCATTCAAAAAAGGCATAATCTTTTTCTTAGGGACTTCCAGGGTATTAGTTAACAGATTGGAGCTAGACTCAGAATCCTTCCTACGGTTGTGATTCCTCAAACTTATCCAAAAATAAATGTGTTTGCTTTGGGCTGTTCAGCCTATCACTTTTTTAATGCCTGATAAACAGCTGTTGCAGACATTTGCTAAAAAATAAAACAAAAAACAAACAACACCTGACTGTTATTATTCTGCTTAAGTTTCGATAATGGCAATTTCAGAATGTCAATGGTAACGTCAAGAACTAGAATTTTAGAGTATCAGTAGGAGGTTAAATCTTAATTCTAGCCTCCAAAGGCTGTTTATTACTGGATTTTTACTGGATGTTCTCAAACTGGAAGTAGATGCAGCTTTTTTTTTTTTTTTTTTTTAGAACTGCTGATCCAGTCACCTAAAGTTACCAGTAAACCATTACATTTTTATTATAGAAAAGAGCTCTTACACTTACTGAAGTAGGACAGTCAAAACAAATGAGCAACCTCTATTTCTGTACTTCCCCATTTATTGTGAAGGCAGTTTTCCTCTTTCTATGCATCCATTAACACTTCTGTTTCTGAAGTGAAATACAAAGTGCCAGTTTAAGTGCTATGCAACCTTGAAATCTTATTGGAGGGTTTCTAATAGTGTTTTTTCTAGCTCACTGCCAACTGTTTTGTCCTAAGTGATATCAGATGTGGCAGGTATTCCTCTTGTAAAGGCACTTGCGCATTAAGTCCAGAATTATGAAGCCCCTAACAGCAAAGAGGTCAAGAACTGTTTGCAGTTTACTTCCTCAGTCCCTTACAACTGAGCAGTCTTTACACCATTGACAGATAAGTTAACTAGATAGGAGCAAAGCAAGCTAAGTTTATGTTCATAGCTATGCCAGCCAACCCTAATTGATACTTTTGAGAGTCCTAGCTACATAATCAGATTACAACTGACAATCTTGCTTCCAATCACGCTTATACTGTGTAAGATGAGTAGTACCTTGGCTCACAACATGCCCACAGCTGACTCTACTACCAACTATGGAAACCCTGCAAGACGAACAGCCAATTCTGACTTTCAAATAGAAATGCATTTATTATGAGCTTCAATATGAAACTACAAACATTACATAAATAAGATCTGTACAAACGCGCTTATTAAAAAAAAAAAAGTTAGATCTTCAGTGCCTGAAGTTCACCTGTGCCAGCCAGTCAGATGAAGTCAAATTTCACTCACCCATGTTTTCCATCATGTTTCTGATAAAATCATAAATTTAGGATGTAGGAATGTTTCCTCCCCAAAGAGTTTACCTGGGGTAACTGAGGTGATTCCATTTAATGTCATGTCTCGTATGTCATTAAAAACAAAGTTATTGGATTAAAACCAAAAAACGCTTCGTTCTATACTCTCACTAGATAACTAGACATAATTGCATAGTATAATAGTTTCTTAGATGAAAAAAGATTTCCTTTGTTCATAATTCTGTGAGCATGACAAGAAATCTCAACAACCAACAAATTTCTCATTGTATTTTGATAGAGATCTCTTCCTAATAGAGCATCTTTTAGGATCTTTTTTCTGCTTGAAAATTGGAGAATTCAGGAAATGCATATCTGTAAATGGATCTCCTCTTCTAAGTTTCCTGTAAAAAAAAAAAAAAGCACATAAGATCCCTCCTTTATTAAAAACATTATCTTCTAAGTAGTAAATTCAATGTTTCAATGTCACACAAACTATTTCACTACTACTAATCAGGACTTCTCTTCTAATGTTTTAATAAGAACTTCCAGTATTTAAGTAATCCTTTCAAATCCCTCATTTGATCATGAACTTTATATCAAACTGGAAAGTGAGACACCTACCCTGAAATACTTGGTTCTTTATAGCTCCTAATCAGAGTACAGCTACGCTTGTGTTTTGGAGATGGTGGTCTTTCACCTTCAGGGACAATAGGTGCACTCCCAGTGCTAGGGAGTGATGAAGCAGTATTGGTAACATCACAGAGATGAGCACGAGACAGCTCAGAAGATTGCTCTGGAAAAAAAAAAAAAAAAAAAGTGAGGCATACTATATCAATAGTTGCTCAAGACAACTCAAACATGTCCTAAAAGGGAATGTCAATGAATGTACTAGATATGAAGCAACTCTCAGCTATAATAATTATCTCCATCTTTTCATTTCTTTCAAATTATACTTTTGATCTCGCTTCCCCCCCAGCTTCAATACATCTTGAAACACATCTGAAATACAGTATTGGCTAATTGTTGAGCAGTTTCTTAAAATAAATAAATAAATCTTTAATTCCTGCTTCTGTTGTGAGGAAAAAAAGATGGTCAGAATGAACTAAACAAATTTTTTAATACATAGAAACAGCATAATGCTGCAAAAAGAAAAATGAAAAAAGCCTACCCCCCTACAAAAAAAAAAAACAACAACAACAAAAAAAACACCACAATGATTTAGAAAAATGAAAAAAGCCTACCCCCCTACAAAAAAAAAAAACAAAAACAACAACAACAAAAAAAACACCACAATGATTTATATAAATGAAATCATTACAGAACACTTTCTATACTTACTAACAGACTTGTCACTTGATTTATTGCTTGCAGTCTCTTTTTCATTGTAGAGTTTCTGATCACGCTGTACCAAACATCTTTTAGACCTTGGTCTTACAGGGACTGGTGACATATCTGTCTTGTCCGTTGAGCTTTTCCTTTTTTTGGATTTCTTCTTATAAGGTACATAAAGGCTATCATCTAAATCTTCTTCACTATCACTTGACTTGATGGTATTAGTTTCAGATGAATTTTCTTTGTCATCCACAACATCATCTGTGTCATTGACCTTATTTTGTCGAAAAGGTGTAACATGGACACTCTCTTCAAAATTGAAGTCATAAGCATCATTGGAGCCACCCAAGAAGTCCAGTTTTACTTTGGAATTCTCTTTACCCTGTCTTTTCTTTTGTCTTGGTCTGCAAGTATTTTTAGTCCCTTCCACTTTTGCCTTCTGATGCTTCTCTCTTACTAGTTGAGAGGCTTCTCTGCTTTTATATTTATGTTGCTTAAGATCAGCACCGCTTTCTGAATTGACTTTTGCAGTTTCAGAATCCAACTGCCTCAACACCAGCTCAGAATCTACCTCATTTACGTGAGAAATATCTGAATTTATGTTTTCTGCAGTACACGTATATAGACTTTCAAGTCCAATTTCATCCTCTTTAGAAGGCATTCTTGTTGAATCAAGTGCTCCCAAGCAGCCCAAGACACCCATGCGAAGTTCATCTTGATTTCTCGTCTTTGAACAGCGACGCCTGGTGGACACATTTTTTGGTAACCTGGTAGTAAATCCATCTCCATTTGAAGAATCACTTTCCAGCTCTGACACTACGTTGTCCACACCAAAATCAGATGTTTGCCCTTGTAATTGAAAGGGAAACCGTATTAATGATGAGTAATAATAACTTTCAGAATTTTTCCAAGTTCTAAATGTGCCAAAAATAAAGACCATCTTAGAATTTTCTCCAGAGATTTGATAAGTGATGTTTACTACAGCCTCCAGACAGAAAGCAGTTATACTACACTACACCAGGATTTTCCTTTAAAGTGTTTTGTTTGGAGAGGTTATCCCCAGGTCATTTATTTTAAGTGTTTTAATCTGTTAACAGTTGTTAATTTCCTAAATAACGCATGACTCAGGATTAATTTACCTCGATTAACAATTTGGTAGATAAAGGAAACTAGATTGCATTACATTTTCAAATTGCTCCCTTATTGTTATGAGCCTCCATTCAAAAGATTTGCCAATTGCCAATATTAATACCTAAGCTTTACAACAAATGAAAATGATTTCACAATTACTTCAAAAGCTGTAGTTCTGCTTTAAACTTACATTTACACAATTTTCCCCTTTTTCTGAATAAAATAACGTCAGATGCTTTCATCTAATTACCTTTGTCTAGAGTTATTTTGACTGAAGAAATGGCATTGCCAGGTAACTGATGAGTATCTGTCACAGAATGAGCCGGCTCGTTTGTTTCACTATCAGCCATCATTCTACTTGGAAGTACCTGATCATCTCCATCAGCACACTGTGGAAGCTCTCTAAAGAAAATACCAAAGGTGGTATTTACTGAATAGCAATATACTTTATAACAATATGAACTACTTCTATTACACTGTATTTCTGTAATAAGTTTACTGTAACAGGATTTTCAAATATAAATACATATCCGCAAAAGATACTTACACAGAACTTATTTTTCTTATGACACTGGAATTATTTTCAAGCACTGAAGAAAGCACTCTCTGGTTCTGTCAAGAAAATAAGTCTTACTGTAACTAAACAGCTGAAACAAGCTTGAACCATACCCACATCTTAGACAATAGACCAGTTACACACAGAAGGGCCAGAGAGACCCTTTGCTGCTTTTATTTGTTTAGTGGCTGGCTAACACAAAACGCAGTGAAATCTCACATGCTCAGCTCCATCAAAACAGTAATAACGACCCCAATCATACAAATAGAGAGCAAGAGGTACTTACTACACCACCTACGGCACAGAAGTCCTTTGCTGGGCCAAGGAGATCAACTGACTCCAATAAGTTCTTAGAAACTTTTGAGATTATCTCACTCAAGGCTGACAGTTTAGTCTAATGACAACAAAAAAAAAAAAAGCCCACAACATCGTTGCTGTTAAATTTAGGTATTAACTACCAACGTGATATACTCTCACCAATATTATGAATAACTATAGGTAACTGTATCAGAAGACACTTCTACTAGGTATCTTCAGCTTTGATTAAAAAAAAAAGTTAATTTTTACGAAACACTTAAGTTCATAAAGATATCATTGGAGTATCTGGTGCAAATTCTAATGGTCAGCTTCACAGAATTATAAAATACTATTAAAAATACCTCAACAAGTTCTTGTGCTTGCTTGAAATAAAGATTTCTTTGCAAGGCAAACATCTGAAACTTCAGATCTTGATACTCTTTCCTTAAATGAAGAATGGTAGTTTGGGCATCCCTCAGTTTGAGCTTTTCCTCTTGCAAAGCCTGAGCCAGAGCTTTGTTGTTTGCTTGGATGCTCTTCATTTGCACAGAGCTGTTGGCTACAAGGGAACAGTGTGTATTTCAACTTGATTAAAAAAATAAATAAATAAAAGAGAAAAACTATGAATTAAGATATTCAAGCATCTTACTTGGCCTTTTGCACTTTATAGTCGTGATCTGGCTAGTTTTACCCAACCTTATCCATTTCTGATTTCTCTTCTCTTTCATCCGTTCTTTTATGTCGCTCAGGCTGTCTTTGAAGGGCTTTTTCAAGCGTTCAGCCATCTTCTACCTTTAAAAACATAAAGGGCAACGAGCTCGCTCATTAAGCCAGTGCTCCGCAGCGCTCCCCAACGCCAACAGAAAAGGCAGGGAGAAATACAAGTAAAACTTGAGGCGTTTTTAATCAGCACACACACATAAGAGCCCCACAGTTGCGAAGGGCACCCAGAAGTGCCCCTTTGCCACCCGCTTTGGGCTGCGTGCCCACCGCCACGACGCCCCTCCGGCCTGGGAGCCGCACGATGCCCGCTCTGAGGCCGGCTGCGGGGAGCCTCAGCGCCTCAGAACCGGCCCCAGGGGGACGGGACGGGGACCGAGGTGCCGGGCAGGGACCCCACACGCTCCCCCCGTTCCCCTCAGCGGAGGCCGCGCCCCACTTGCCTGAGCCCGGCGCCAGCCGCCGCCACCACCCGCCCGCTGTGTGACGAGAGCAGCCCCGCGCGCGACCCGACCGTTAACGCCGCAGTTCAAACTGCAGCGCCGCGCTCTCCCATTGGCTGACGAGGCCGCTCGAAGCTCCGCCCCCTCCCTCCCGCGGCTCGCGCGGCCGTTGGCGCTGTGGCGGCTCGCGCCCGCTGTGGCCGCTGAGGGGCGCTCGGCGCTGAGGCGGCGGCGCTGCCCCGCGGGGTTGGGCTTCAACGGGGGCGGAACGCGAGGTGTTTATTAAACAGCAAAGCTAGGGGGGAAAGCTAGCGTTAGAGCTGTGCGTTTTACTTAAAGAAACTGGCTCTTGCACGTATTTTGCGCTCGCTGTGAGGTGAGCCCCTCCCAGGCTTCCTGGGTCACGGTCCCCATCCCCGACACCACAGCTCGAAATGAAAGTACCGTAAGGGCTGCTGAGGAAACCTCTTCTCAAAGACTTGTTTTATGAAACGAACTGTTCAAAAACAGCGTCGATAAGATGGAAACCACCATAACATGAGGTTTATGTGGGGAAAGGCCATTAAGCGTAGCACAAAGTCTGCACTAGGCTAGCAGCCTGACCCGGATAGCAGCCTTCGCTAGGGAGCATCAGGCTTGAAGCCAGGTACGGGGATATATCACTTCTCCTGATCCACCTGATCAGGGGAGCATTTTCCTCAGCTGTGTCATTTTGCATAGACTGCACTGGCTGATTATACGCTTAAGCTCATTGAACATGGACTGCTGAACTTTGATTAAACTCACTCTATTATAGGAGAAAAATAAATCAGCTAAGCTGCAGCTTATTAACAGTGAGATAATTGGTGTTCTTGTATCTGAGAAATGAGCATTTCATAGCTCCTGCACTTTTTAAAAACAGCCATTCTTGCCTACTTGATTTTATTCATTACAGTTTAGATGTAGTGTGGCAGGCTGATTTCAAACTGGAAAAATCCTCATAGATTATGTCAAACCATAGTCCATGATGCACACACATAGCCTTTCCTACATCTTGGAAGATTTTATATTTTTTGTTTCTCCCGCCTCATCTACGTAGTTTTTATATTAATGTAAATAAACTTTGCTCACCTTCCTCTCTTATTTCATCAATAGATACCAATAGAGCTGTGTTCGCATTTCCTGTCAGGAAAGAAGTTCCCCCTTTTGAGACAAAAGACTCATAATTTCTTTAGGAGTTAGCGTGAGAAGTATTAGCAGGTTAAATGCCTTAGGCCCTCCTCTTTTGAGTTCATGGGGTCACACAAGGTCAGAAAAACACAATTTTAGCTTCTCTTTACAGTGTTTTTCTCCTTTCTTTCTGTTTGCTTAGTCTACCAAATACTTATCGACCTGTCCTTCCAGCCCCCAAGCAAACCTCCCAAAATTAAACAAAAATTGTCATAGGCTTGGGGGAAAAATGTATCAAATATTGAAAATCACGTAATAGAAATACTGGTTTTCTGATATTGTGCAATTAATCCCTTATCTATTTCCTACAGGCCTCTCACAGTTTTATGGGCAATAATTAGGCATACCTGCTCAACAGTGGCTAACAGCCTCATCAGGACCCTTGCAAGCAGCTCTCTCCAAGTGTTGGATGGAATTATCTAATTGAACTCAGCTTCCATTTTTTTTGTTGTTATTTGTTTGTTTTTCATATCAGCACCAACTAGTCTAACCAAAAGTAATTTCTTTTCCTACAAGCTTTGCTTCATGTATAGCTAAAACCTGTTTTGCATTTGCCCAACCAGCAATTAGTGGTTTCCAGCAATGCTGGTAAGGTCTTTTAACCATTAGTCATTCATCTGCTTGGCACAAATACACTGACTGTGATTAAATGAACCATGCTTTGATTGAAAAAGAATGCTTTCCTTATTGCTATCTACGTTTGTTACTCTTGATTACTTATTCTTTCTTTTTTTTCCTTGAGTATGCCTGTATCAAAATTAAAGAACCTCTCATCACTTTTTTTTTTTTTCCTATTGTATTTAATGTTATTCAAGCGTTTTACATTTATTTCAGAAACACTTAGAGATGTTTCTCCAGGTTCTCTCTTTTTATTTTTATTTATTTATTTATTTTAATGCCCAAATTACATGTCCCGATAATCTGCTTTTAACTGCTGCCAATGTATACTTATTTCTATATTATTCTCCAGTAATGTCTATTTTTATGAGATTATTGGCAGGTTGCACCCTCCATGTTATTTCATAGTATTAATAGCATCAGTAGTGAATTTATGACACTCTAGTAGAGATTTTTTTCTTGCTCAACTGATTCTTCTTGCTCTAAACAATTTCCTCTATGAAGACTGATGCTATGATTGATGTCAGCGATGCACTAGATTAGTTTAATTCTAGCGGATGTACTTATGTGGCAAAACAGCTGCTACTGTTACTAAAGTTGGTGCAGAATTAAAAGATGTTCTTTCATCTTAGCTTTACTGACTTACACTAAAAGGAAAGACTTATCTCATATATTTACAGCAAATTAAAAGAATCAGAGCTGTGATTCTGGCAGTGTTCTTGATGCATGTTGTCAGAGTTCAACTCTGAGTGTAGTGTTATATCCTGTCATACAACACTTTTGTTACTGATCTATGTAAAGGGTTCATACATAGTTGTCTTTACCATCTGAACAAGCAATTGGACATGAAATATCTTATACAATGTTAATTAGTTGCTTTTATTGCTACCTACATTGAAGTTTTCAAATAAAAGGAATCTTAACATTGTTAGTGGGTGCTTATGAGAGGTATAGATTATCCAGCCCTTGCTGGAAAACATCTTCAGAACTCCTATTGATTTCAGTAACAAGATAAAATGTATGTCTCTATAAGGACAGATGATTAGACTCCTCTTTTTGAGTCATTTTTAACTCAAAAATGACTCAACATCATTCTCATTGGTCTTGTAGGGAATGACTGGAACTTAGCAGCAGCCATGTTCTGTTGAGTGACAGCGAGATTTTAGCATGGAAACTACAATGCATGCAACACAGTACTGACTGGGAAGACAAAATATATATACAGTATGTTCTGATGTGTAACATAAAATTGATTAACACTGCAGTGTTCTCTGTTAAGACGACCTTTGAAGTGGCTCTCACATAGTGCTAGTACTTCCCTCCTTTAGATGGAGGGTGAACCTGATCAGAGGCACACAGCACTGTCATGCTTTCCATTACCTGTGGAGTTGTGGAGGATCATTTTAGCACCACTGGCTTCCTGACTCAGCTGTGTCCTCAAGTCTTGTGACTGGCACACTCCACCCTTTCTTCTTCACAGCGCTTTTTTCCTTGATTGTCAGATGACTTCTTTGTGAAACTGCCTTCACACTGTTCAGGTCTAATCATTTTTGAGTAGGACATGTATAGATATCATCAGCTTGAAAGTGTCGTGTAAGGAGTCTATTTAGTACGTGAGAGCTACACGCACCCACTGCTTCCCAAATCAGAATGAGCAGCAAACATTTTTTGAAGAAGCTGGCACAGACATATCTGAGCAAAAATTGTTATACTAAGAAGTTTGTACTAACTTGACCAAGTTTGGGTGGAAATCCCATAGAAATAATGAGCCAAAATGATCTTGACGGCCAGCCATTTGATATTTATCCTTCAACAAGAATGAAAAGAATTACATGTCATCCAAGTGTCATTTTTTTTTTTTTTTTTAAATATGTGTCCTAGTGTTCTATTCTTTTCACATTTCAGAAGGATTTATCAAATTAGGCCCATACGGTGCTAAAATTCAAACCAATTCTATTTTGGAATATGTTGTTAGTAGTATATTCCTGATTCTGTCCAAAATATCCCTAACCATTTCCTAATAAGAATTCTTGTATCTTTTTCTTTCTCTAAAATACTTTGCCCTACTTACATTTAAAACAGCATACAGTATGAGGAAAACAAGCATGAGTTAACTGAAGAGTGAGACAACATGTGTTTCATTAAGCTAAAATTAAGAAGCTATAAATCATCGTAGCTGTATTAATTATGTCAATGTCTTTTTGATGTACATATATATTCTAAAATGTTTTCAATTACTCATCAGTTTAATATAAATGAGGATGTGAAAGCTTAATAAGGATCTCAATCCATTTATGAGAGAGATTCCAGAGATGAAAATATATGCAATGATTATTATATGGGTCAGATACAACTGTCACTTTTACTACAGACATAATTTGTATAAAAAAACTGTAATATATACTGGCCTGATTTGCCACAAAATCTTTACTTTCAGTGCCAGGGAAAATCCAGACTCCCAGATGGATGTCTTAATCCTGTTACAACAACGTAAGTAACAGCCTGAAATCTTGAAGCACATTATATAAGTATAATGAGCAAAGGAGGAATCACGAGGCAATAAGGTGTTCATCAACATTTAACATTTTCTCAATATTTCCTTTGAATATATGTCTTAATTTCATTTTGCCACCTGTCAGTTGACTAGAACCCTGACTTTCTCTAGCATGCAGTAGTTGCAGAGCATGCAGTCAGAAACAACCCCTCCCACCACAATTTCTCTACCCCCAAAACTCGTACCAATATCTGCCTGACATGAATGAAGCAAGACTTAGCACTGGTTCTGAGTTTCCAGGTATTTTTCAGGAAGTAAGCTTTTAAAAAATGTTTTCAAAGGTTTTTTTTTTTTTTTTTTGGCATATATTGAATGGAATATTGACTGACAAAACTGGTTTTCTTTATAGTGTTTGTATAAATATGTTGCTTTCCACTAATTATGACCCTTTTTTCCTTACCCGATGAATGATTAAATAGCTTGAATGATTAAATAGTAGAATGGTGACACAAAAAGACAAAGGCAAAAATTTGCTCTTATATGCAATTTGTATCTTGATTATGATGACGCTGTCTAACATAATGGAAAGAAATTCATTCCTGGATACAATAGAGTACCTTGGTGTAGCTTTTTTAATGCTAACACACTTATAATCAGAGGTGAGTAATGTGTGCAGAACCCCTGGGTGCTGGTGAAGCAGAGTGCCACCAGCAGCCTGCTGCCGTATGCCTCTATCCCCTCCCTGGACTGTGATGTCAGTGGAAAGGGTCTGGATTTATATGGGCAAACCTTGGATTAAAATTGATCTC